GAAAAGAAAAAGAAATAATGGTCTCTAGCCCATTTGCTAATATTGTTCCCCTCTGATACTTCTTGAACTGGGCTTCTATAGTTCATATTATTGTCAGCACTACTATCTTGCAAACTCCTACTATGATGGCCCATTAAACCCTACTGATAACATTCAACCACTTTTCTAGTCCAAAGCCCCAACATCTTCCATATTTCTCCCCAAAACCAGGATGGTCAAGCCTGTTATAACAATATCCCAGTCCCTGGTACCAACTTAGTTACTGTAAAGAGACTCCATGACTAAGTCAACTTATAAAAGAAAGCACTTAATTGGGGGCTCATAGTTCCAGAGGGTATTAGATCCAGTTCCCATCACATCAGGGAGCATGGCAGGAGGTGGGCAAGCAGGCATATACTGGAGCAGTAGCTGAGAGCTTATGTGTTGAGACAACCACCATGAGGCAGAGAGAGAAATACTGGAAAATGGCATGGGCTTTTCAAACCTCAAAGCCCGCCCCACAGTGACACATCTCCTCTAACAAGGCTGTGGTGGTTTGGATAAAATGGCCCCTATATGCTCATAGGGAATGGTGCACTATTAGGAGGTGTGGCCTTATTGGAATAGGTGTGTCACTGGGGGTGGTCTTTGAGGACTCAAGCTAGGTTTAGTGGCTCCCAGTCTCTTCCTGCTGCCTGTGGTCCCAGATGTCAAACTCTCAGCTCCCTCTCCAGCGCCATGTCTGCCTGCCTGCTGCCATGCTTCCCACCATGATGTTAATGGACTAAACCTCTGAACTGTAAGACAGCCTTAATAAAATGCTTTCCTTTATAAGAGTTGCTGAGGTCATGGTGTCTCTTCACAGCAATAAAATCCTAACTAAGAAAAAGGCCATACCTCCCAGTCCTTCCCAAATAGTTCCCCCAAATGATAATGAAGTATTTAAATATATAAGCTTATAAGGGCCACTTTCATTCAAACCAGGACAGTACTGTATCCTTATTAATTTTTTCTGTCCTTTTAATCTACAAATATAGAAGAATGCACTGAAATTTTTGGCTCTGATTGTTAGGGTTTTTTGTTTGTTTGTTTTGTTTTGTTTTGTCTTGAGACAGGGTCTCACTATGTAAACTAGGCTGGCTACTTACTTAGAGATCTGCCTTTGCTGGGATTAAAGGTATGTAGCAGGGGCTGGAGAGAGAACTCACCAGTTAAGAGCACTTGTTGCTCTTCCAGAAGACCCAGGTTTCATTTCTAGCACTCACATGGTATCTCACAACCATCCAAAACCCCAATTCCAGGGGATCTGATGCCATCTTCTGACTTCCACAGGTACTAGGCATGCATGTACATACATATGTGCAGGCAAAACATACACACATATAAAACCAAATAAATAAATCTTTAAAGGCATATACCTTCATGCCCAACAGTTAACAACTTTTTTTGCATGCTGACTCTGATATCTGCAATAATTCCCAGTTGGGTCCAATTCTTTGTTATTTCTCTTTATTGTGGCTTATATTCTTGACTGTCAACATGCTAGGTCATTTTTTTTATGCAAACTGCATGAGGCTTTATTAAAGTTTAACGAGCTAACCCCATAATAGCTCGGGTCTTTCATCCACCCACCATGGCGGATGGCTAGGAAAGACAGCTTGAAGCATCTGCATAGAGATCTTACAGGGCAGCGTAAGGGGAGTGTCTAGGGGTACACACAGGCTCAGGATTGGTGTGCCTCCAGGCTTGGAGGGCTTTCCCTGTGTTGATTGGTCAACTGGTTGTTATGGCCCATGGGGCCTCCCAGGGTGGGTGCTATGCTCTGCGCGTCATTGCTGTGCACTTGTCTGTAAAGCACACCCAGAGCCATAAAGCATAGCACCATCAGCTAACTTCTGATTGGTTCCTTGCCATGAGGCAGGCGCCTAACCTAGTGACCAAGGCAAGGTCAGACAAGCACGTGTTCAGCTGTTATGGCTGCCGAAAGGGGCAGGCATCTGACCTTAGTGATGCTAGGTCATTTTTATTGTATCCTAAAAATTGCTGATTTCACATCATTGGATGCTGGGTTTTTCAGTCTTTTCATTAGCATATATTAAAGATGCTGGTTATTTAATTTTAATTCATAATCATAAACTCACCTCTGCAATCCAACTAGAGCATGGAGGGGAATTAATATGGAACTGGACAGGGTGGGGCACATCTTTGATCCCAGTATTTGGGAGGCAGAGGCAGGTGAGTCCGAGGCCAGCCTGGTCTCCAGAAACCCTGTCTAGAAAAAAAAGGTAATACATAACTCAAAGACCTGAAGCAAGGGTGCAAAACTCAGGGGATATTATGGGCAAATGGGATGTTGGAGGCTGGTTAAGATGCACAAGTCAAAAATATCAGAGTTCCTTCCATCTCAGCAATCAGCAGACAGAGGCAGGTGGATTTCTGTGAGTTTAAGGCCAACCTGATCTACCCAGAAAGTTCCAGGACACCGAGGGCTACATAGTGTAACCTTGCCTCAAAAACAACAGTGACAACAAACAGTATCAGAGCTTTCCCAAGTCAGCAATGGTGATCCTGCTGATTTTGTCTTTCCTGGACCCAAAGTGCTTCATGGCTTCCATCCTTCACCTTTCCAAAGACTGCAGTTTACCATCCAATAGCTCTGTCTTTACAGTGCAGAAGAAAAACTGAAAACTATGTTTGATCCAGCATCCACCATGGATGAGATGGCAGGCCTGTTTGCTTCAGGATGATCTCACCCTCAGATTTCTCCTCGTAGATGGACTTTCCTCCAGTGTCATTATGGTGTGTGAAGTCAACACTGTGGCATATTAATCCTGGAATAGCCCTAGGAAAGAGGAGCCCATATAAATACATCTCTTTTCTCTGGTGCTCAGAGCACAAAGATTTCCTGATGTTTTGGAACTCTGCAGGCAGCTCAAAGGAGACACAAGTCCAAGGGCTGGTCATCAACATGGATGTTGAAGAATATGGTGGGTTTGACCATGGTTGACAGCAAGCAGCAACAGAGGACAATGGTGTTTGCAAAGTGATGCTGGATTTTTTTTTAAGTTTGGTTTGTTTTTTTTGTATTCTTTTTTTAAATTTTTATTTATTTTTATTTTATGTGCATTGGTGTTTTTTCCATGGATGTCAGGCCCCCTGGGACTGGAGTTACAGACAATTATGAGCTGCCATGTGGTTGCTGGGAATTGAACCCAGGGCCTCTGGAAGAGCAGTCAGTTCTCTCACCTGCTGAACCATCTCTCTGGGTTTTTTTGTATTCTTGTAAAAGTTCTCAATCTTTGTTCTGAGATAAAGTTAAGTTACATAAAGGCAGTTTGGTCTTCTCCATTCTAATACATCATTCCATGTGAGTGATTCCAGTGCAACAATTCATTCTTGGGCTTAAGTTTCCCACTACCAAGGCTAAATTCTTCTGAATGCTCTACTCACTGTTTGTGACTTATGAGACTTATGTCTGGTCTAGCTGGTTAAAGAAACCACATTATTATTGGTTCTGTATGAGCTCAGCTTACTGTCCTCACTAATGCCTTCAAGTGGTCCTTGCCCCAGGACCATCTAGCCTCATCTGTCACATACTGGAAACATCACATATGTTCACCAGCATGTAGGGAAAGACTGATGGCAGCTGGATCTTTATAGGATTGCATAGACCACAGCCACTTTATCAATATAAGACTGTACTGCTCTGAATTAAGCATCTTAAAATGCCTCCTAATTTTCTCATTATATGCTTTTTTAAAGCTATGACAGCAGCTGGCAAGATGGCTTGGCAGATAAAGGTACTTGCCACCAAGCCTGAGTTCAGTTTCTAGGATTCTCATGGTGGAAGGAGAGAACCAACTCCTGAAGGTTGTCCCCTGAACCCCACATATCTTAGTTTGGATTTCTATTGCTGTAAAGAGAACCATGACCACAGCAACACATATAGAGGAAAACATTTAATTGGGCTTACAGTTTCAGAGGTTTAGTCCATTATCATCATGGTGGGAAACGCAGATATGGTGCTGGAGAAGGAGCTGAGTGTTCTACAACTTGATCCATGGGCAGCAGAAGGAGAGATTGTGTACTGGGCGTAGCTTGAACATATATGAGACCTCAAAATCTGCCCCCACAGTGACACACTTCCTCTGACAAGGCAATACCCACTCCAACAACACCAAGCCTAATAATGTCATTCCCTATGGGTCAAACATGAGGGTCATACCTATTCAAACCACCGCACCACATATGCAGGTGTATATGTGTGTGTGTAATTAAAATGATAACATTTAAAATCTTTTATACAGAATTGTACACAACTTTGAAGCTTTTGAAATACAGATTTATTTGTTCCCTTTTTGTAGGCTTGTACTTTATATAGATATATAGAAGGGAGCTGCTGTTATAACTACTTTAGAAATATCTAATTATTCTTATTTCTGAGGCTTTTAGTCAGTATTCTCTCCATGTCCCAGACATTTCTGTATACTCTTGAAGAATTGCACAGTTGCAGGGCATGCAGGACACGGGCCCTACAGAGCCCAGGGGAGCACCAATGAGACTGCTAAGGGAACAGATTATACCACAAAGATTGGAAGTCCTGAGCTGCATCTGATTGGGCCTGAGGAAAGAGAAACAGGGAGACTAGGTGGCTTGACCAGAGCCATTTGCAAATGCAGACAACCAGGGAAAGGTATTAGCTGTTAAGTGAATTCCATTTGGAACAAAAATAGTTACTTACTCTATCAGGAAGGGAAGAAAGACAACAGAATGCCAAATTCTTCTATCACAATGCACATCATCTTGGATTAGCCTGGGAGAATTGTCCTTTCTGATACCTGCATGAACAAGAAGACCGTATCCCGGGCATGTGGTAGCAATCTTACAATACATAAGGAAGTCCAGCCTGAGACAGCCGGTCCTATGGGATGCTGGTCCTACAGGATGCTGTGCCATAGAAGGCTAGCTTTTTGTTTACCTTTTTCTCAAAGTCTCTCTTCTCTGCTCACTCTACTTCTCAGCTTTGAGTTCGCAGAAGTTCTCAGTGCCACCTGCTGTGATGTCATCCTCCAAAGGAAGTCGGAAGCAAAGGCCGTCTGTGTTTGCCAAGGGACCACTGGAGATTCCATCTCCAACAGAGGCAGACTTGCCTAAGGATGATGAGAAGGATTTTGACTTCTGGGACATGTATCAAGAACTGGACACTCTGCCTTTGCCTTACCGAATGATCAACAAGCTGGTGAACCTCCTGTTTGACTACTCATGGGAAGTTATTGAGGAGAGAGAAGCTTTACGGGAAATTGAGAAAAACCGCATCCTGCCTACCACCTACCCTCCAGGTGCAGAAATCCAGGTAAGAACAAGAGTGCTTGTTTTTCATGAATGTTAATGAAAATGCCTGATTCAGGGAAGGGAAGGAATTTCTACAGATGCATTTATGAGAGTTAGTAGGCATGTTCCTGTTGGTCAAAATAGAAAAATCTGGCAGTTGCCTGTGGGAAATGGGGTGTTGTGGTTAGCTGACAAAGGCCATTTATGTTATGTTATTGACACTGTAGAACTTCATTAGGCCCCCTCCATGCTTGGCAATTGAGAACTGTCAGTGATTCAGCTGGTCTTCCCACAGGACACTAGATTTAATAAAGCACAGGACCTGCAGTCGTGCTCATGTCCAGAATATATATCTAGTCTCAACTTTTGTTTTCTCTGTCTCCTTTCCCCAAAGGGAAATGCATAAGGCAAGCATTTTCAACAGACACACATTTGGCGGTCATATGTCTAGAAAGAGCCCTCTTTGAAAAGTTAGCTCAGATTGCTTGATGGCATTGATGGAATTAGTTTTGTCTTTTTGTGTCTGTGTTTTCCCAGCTCAACAAAATGCCTGGTGGTATGGCTGTTTCACAAGACTATCTGTTTATTGGAGGAGTCAAAGGATTCTCAATCTATAATCTGCACAATTTCAAAAGAATGTATGTTTGGGAGAAGTTAAAGGTTGATGTTATTTCCATCTGGGCCATGGATTTGGGGAATGAAGTACTTATCATTCCTGTGGATGAACTAGGTATTTGTTTTTCTTCATTTAATCTCTTTTCCAAGTGTGGGTGGAGTCAGACAAGGCAAGTTCTCTCCTCTCATGTAGTTGTAACTACCACCTATCTCTGTACAAGTAAGGTGTGCCAGGCCTAGCCTAACGTTTCTCATATGGTAGCCGATTTGGTTCTTCGCCTGTCCAAGGCAAGTACAGTTTATCATCATCCTGTTTGGAAGCGACATCTTGAGGCACGGAGGTTAAGTAATTGAGGTAAATGGAAATAAATGGACCAAGGATATTTTAAACCAGGATAGCGGAGGTTAAGTAATTGAGGTAAATGGAAATAAATGGACCAAGGATATTTAAACCAGGATATTTTAAACCCCAAAGTTCATACCCTTCCAACACAGAGCCCTGCTACCCAGCTTCTCCCATGAAAGGACATTGAAGTACCCATGGGCATGTTGAAAAAAGTAAAAACCAGAGGAGGATGAGAGAGGGAGAGAGAGTGGAGGTCTGAGGGGGCTGTGTAGGAAGGACTGCTGTTTTCATTTATGAGAGAAATTTTGAATGTCAGAGCCAGGACAAGTGCTGGTAAAAGACAAAGAAAATTGTACTGTGATGGTCCAAGATGTGAATTTTGCTGGAGTGAGATGGAAGATACAAGGGACATTTTGGTTGTTTTTGCACCTTTCCTCTAGGCATAAAATTAGTTTAAAACAAAAAGCTTGAAAATGAAACGAGAGGGCTGGCAGGATTGCCTACTGGGGTAGAAAGGCTTGCTGTCATACCTTAGTTCGATCCCCAGGAGTCACTTGGTGGAAGGAGGGAACGGACTCCTGCAAGTTGTCCTGTGACTGCCACTTGCCTGTGGCCCAAGTGCCTGCCCCCTTCTAATAATAAATATGTTGTAAAAAAAGTTTAAATTTCTTTAATTGGAAAGGGGAATACAATAGACATAAAAGCAGCTCACATATGCAGCCCGCACTTGCAAGACAGAAGCAAGAAGATCAGGAATTCAGGGTCATTCTCAGCTGCATAGGGTTTTGAGGCCATCCTGAATTACACGAGAGCCTGTCTCAATTATCCTTTCTACCCAAAAGACTTAATGATTAAAACCTATTTATGGTGAAGGAGGCATGCTGGGCAGCATAGGCATGGATGGTTCCTTTCTGCATTGGATACCTGGGTGGACGACTGCCATTCCTTGATAACAGTGATAGGAGAATAAGGTGCTCAGGCATGTGATTTGAAGAAGTGTCCCGCGCTAACCGTCTCACCAGCAAAAACGACGCGGGGACACTCCTCAGGATCCTTCTGCAGTAAAGCTTTAATGCGTCTTGAGAAGGAGAGCATCAGCTTACAGGGCGGAGACTCTGAACTCCCAAAAACCCCTCCCTTATATAGGCTGGCAACCGCCGCCTCAGACTGTTACTCTCTGACTGGCTGAAGCTCGTCGGACCATATGACGTCAGCTGATCGGACCATATGACGTCACGTGAGGGGCGGAGACTAAGGGCTGGAAAGTTACAAAGTTACCTAGTGCGCAAGCGCACAGCTTGTAACGGCTCCTAACAAAGAAGTCCATTTGAACACCCACAGATTTGAGGTACCTGGAGGATATCTGTGTAGAACACTGGGACTTTGGGTTAAAGAAAAAGCCATATTCATTATGATCCATTATCAAGTAGTTTCAGGTCTGTGTTACTGTCTTTTGATGACTTTGAAAGCAGACTGCCTTGGCGTTCCCTGTGCAGTGTCAGGGAATGTCTATCCCATGACTCTCTATTAGGATGGGTTAGAATTTCACCCACAGTGGGCCAAGCGACTTTATGTGATTGATCTGTCTATATCGTGGGTGCAAAGGCAGGTTATGAGGAACTAGGAGGCACCTAAAGGAAGGTAAGAAGCCACGGTGGTTGACAGTTGCATCCTGAATTCAACAGAATTAATTGTACAAGCAGCCTTAAACAAGGAGTTTAAGGCACACAGAAAGGTGAGGGATAATCCTTTCTCTCACAGGAGCTTATGAACCCAACACATTCGAAGCAAACGGTTGGGCACCAGTGTGGAAAGTGTGTGATGATAGCCAGAATAGGGGCTGGGAGTGCAGGACAGACTGCTGTGCCTGGTGTGCTTCTAGGAAATGTGGGTAATACCAGCTAAGTAGGAGGGGACCGGGAGGGAGAGCAAATTAAGTATTGCAAAGTAAGGTGGAGGAAGACTGGGAGATCAAGAGCAGCATAGGCCATGTGTGGCAGCAAAGCAAGGGCGGGGTGATGAGTTTAGAGTCAGATGCGCCCGACCCTGCCTGGCTTCCCTGTCTCACAGCCTCTTATTTTTCTGTTTCAGGTATTGTTAGATTGTTTTACTTGTATAAAGACAGTCTTTTTCTCCTTAAAGCCATCAATGAAATGGTGAGTTCCTGATCTTTCACTTTAGCTGGGGAACACCAAGTAGGTTACACAAAGCATATTCCTGATAAAAGACTTGTATCCAGGATGTATGAAGCTGCAGCAAATGAAAATTATATTAAAAGCTGAACTCCTGGAATCCAGTTGTACAGTGGAAGGAGTGATGAGGAAAGGGGTCAGAACCATGCTAGGGAAACCCACAGAAACAGCTGCAGTTGTACAGTGGAAGGAGTGATGAGGAAAGGGGTCAGAACCATGCTAGAGAAACCCACAGAAACAGCTGACCTGAACAAGTGGGAACACATGGACCCCAGCCAGACAGATGGGGAACCAACATAGGACTGAACCTGGCCCCCTAAACGTGGGTGTCAGTGGGGATACCAGGGCAGTCTATGGGGTCTCTGGCAGTGGAACCAGTATTTACTCCTAGTGGACTTTGGGAGCCCATTCCCTATGGAGGGATACTCTCTCAGCCTAGATACTTGGAGGAGCACCTAGGCCCTGCCCCAAATGATGAGACAGACTTTGATGACCCCCATGAGAGGCCTCATCTTCTCTGGGGAGTGGATATGGGTTGGTGGGGAGAATGGGAGGAAAAAAAATAAAAACAAAAAGAAAAATATTAAAAA